GTGTGTATATGTGGGAAGGGGAAAGGGTTGTTTTAGGAAGGTGCCTCTGACCGGAACTGATCTGTAATAGTGGAGGAATGAGTGTGTAGAGACTTGGATTTAAAGAGAAATCTCTTTGTGGTAGGATTTCCAGTTATCTGAACTTACTATAAAAAATAATAATGTGAAGAAGAATGATGAGATTTGGAGGTGGAGGCCTCTCTAGGATAGAGCTGTAATAAGCTAGAGTGCTATCACATGGACTCCCCTACCCCTTACCAGTCAAGGTCATGGTTCTGACCCCTTGCCTCGGTTATTTCTGATCCTTACCACTGCCCTTCCTCTGGCTGGTCACCACCTTACTGTTTTCCTGTTTATCTCACTGGTAGAACATTCCCCTTGGCTTTCTTCCCAGTAACTACTGAAATCCCTTCCTCGATGGTAATGCAGATTCTCCCATCACATTGCTTCAGAATGCCTCCGAATAACCTTCCTTCCCTGTCACTTGGAAGAATCTATTCATTGCTGCATCCTATGGGTAACTGTATGCTTTATCATATAAGTTGGGACAGTTCTGACAGCAGAAGGAGCACTTTTAATAATGTTGGGACTATAGATATAAACTGGGACTGTCCTCTGCATACTGGGTGATTGGTCACTGTAGGCATGTCGCCATGGGCCCAGTTAGCTCCACCCTGCAAGTAGAACTGAGACTCCCCCCCTCAGTCTAGCATCTGCTCTGGAGGCTGAGGTTGGGCTCTTTGCATGGGGCATCAAAGCAGAGGTCATCACTCTTGAGTCATTCATCTTCAGGCCTGTTTTTCTAGTTTCTCCCATGGAGATGCCTCAGTTCTCACCCCAGAAGGTGCCTTTCCATTCTTTGATAATGGACTGGAGACTTCCTAAACCCATTATCTCTGTTTCTTTGGGCTGCTACATGGATGAGATGCAGATTCTTCCATGTCCAAGTCTAAGAAAGCCATCTCCAGACCCAGACACCCTTGCATAGGCCTTACCAGACCTGTGTGTTTGCCTCTCTGGAGCTAAAGTGGAATTAGAGGAACTTGGCTCCCAGAGCTTGAGTCAAACTGATCTCCCTTCTCTTCTCAGTCAGTTGCATCTGGGGAGGCCTCACCTGTGCACTAGGTGAAACTTCAGCCTAGATGGGGGAGGGTTCTTGACTCTGATCAAGAAAGAATTCTCAAACAGGTTGGATGAGTGTAAACAAGGAAGGAATTCATTAAAGTGAGAGTAGCAGTGAATGGTAGCAGCCGTGCAGGCAGCAAAAAGCAAGGAAGGAAAGGGAAGCTCACTGAACTCCAGTTTGGCATAAAGCAGACTCCCTTGCCAACTCCTGAAGCCAGGATCACCTGGTGTCTAGTGTGTCCCCTTGAATCTGTACAACATGGAAACTAAACCTCTACAAACCTGGGATTTGGGGAAGTTGTAGGGCACTGAATGGAGTGAGATTATGTTCTGAGAACTTCCCAAAGGCAAAGAAAGGAAATTTTGGGGTGGGCTACTTAAGAGCATGATCGTGCAGCTGCCATCCTGTCTGGGTCACTCAGGCAATGGGAATTTGCCAGCCCAAATCAGAGATCTCAGTAGCACTTCCCTACTTGTCTGAAGTAGGACAGAGTAAGAGAAGACTATGTGCTTAAGTCTAGAAAATTGAACGAAATAGCAAAGTAACAAAGAACCTTACCACTGTGAAAAGCGATCTCTCATTAACCTTCCAAGAGGCTTGCAAGAGCACAGAGACAAAATGCAATAAGTTGAGCAGCAAGAAGTCTTTATTGAAGGCAGAGCACACACTCAAAGATAAGAGGAGTGTGGGCAACCTCAAAGAGGTGGCATACTTTAAGCTTAGGATTTGTGTCTTCTAAGGATTTCAAAATGAGGCAAAGGATGGGGGTGAGGGTGGGGCACAGGCTTGACATGTGGTCTCATGATGTCTGTCTCTGGTGGGAAACATGTCATTATCCATAGTCAGTCCTGTAGATATTCTGTAAGATAAACCTAACAAGGAATTTATTGGTCCTGTTCTCCAAGATAGTGGTTACCCTCAAGCAGTGGAAACATATCATTTAGGACCATTTCCCTGCCTTAGGGTATGATGGGTTGTTGGCTAATCACCATAAAATATGTCAGGAATCTCACCTCCTAACGCCCTGGTTTTTAAAATGGAATCTTAGCCTTAAGATGGAGTCCCTCCTGTTCTTACTTTACTATTCATATCTCAGCATTTTTCATCATAGGCAGTAAAAATTGCTCATGGTGCTTGTCCCATGTCCCTGCTCTGCCTCACTTCTAGCCCCTGAGGACACTAAAAATACTCAGAAAAAATGTTAACTGTTACTATTGAAATATTATAACTTTTTACCACATTATACTTACAGCTTTAAGAGATTCAAGGGCATGATAAACACCCATGCTTTTTTGAAGAAAATAATTGCAGATGTTGAAATCAGGCCTCAAAATTTGAAAATGACATCCAAAAAACTTTTATAGTAAGACTTACTGTGTTATTTTTACCATAATAATAACCATGACATGTTATTGGGTACAAATATATTTTGAAATACAGGTTAACAGTCCCTTATCTGAAATCCAAAAAGATCTGAAAACTGGAGAAAAAAAAAATTCCAAATTTGTCACAAGTTCCTTGAACAGCAAAACCTGATTTGAATTGGTATGAGATATATAGTCTTTATTTATCCCACTTTGTGTGAATATTCATATTTTGCTGCAGAAGTATTAATATATTTAGTTACTTCCTCAGATTTCAGAGGGGGTTTATGGTATATGGTATAATACCTGTTCAAAACACTTCTGCCAAAAAGGTTTCTGTCAAGGGATTTGGGCTCTATTAGACTCTTCTGCTTATCACATGTTTTTCCATTAATAAGCTCCACAAATTAGGCAAGCACAAACCTATCATAAGATTCCTTACAGGTTTGCCCCTTCTTGGTTATGGCTCCCTGTTTGGTCTATATTCTGGGAACTAACTGTTCAGTATTATTTTCTAGTTCAACATTTAGTACCTTTAGTACCATAGTCTTTTGGAACAAAAAACAACAGTGATTCAATAAATGATTAATAAATAAATTAAAATGGTGGATAACATATATTGAGCCCAGATCTCTACTTGTCCACTGGTGTAACATGGAAGGAAGAGGAAATATCTTTTACCATCATATATGAAACAGAGTAGTCACATATGCAGTCCATTTTCATTTTGTGTTGAATACTTAAGAACTACACTTTCACCCTCCCAGAGTCTAACAGAAGCCTCCATACAGATTTCATGTCTTTTTCTAAATGCAAAAAAATTAGGACCAGTAGTTGTATGTCTTCCACTAGTTTAGGAAAAGACTTCTATTATTTTCTTCAGAAGCATATTGTACCTCAAGACCAAAGTGGGGATGGGAAAGGAAATGTATTCAATATTTAGTCCTTTACTCTCTGGCTTAACGTGTGTTGTAGCCAGCAGACTCCAAGAAACCCTCACCACCTGATATTCGAGCCTTTGTGTAGTCCCTTCCATATCAGATGGGTCTACTGTTGAGCTATGTAACCAGAGGATTTTGTAGATATGATGAAGTATGCCTTCTGAGATTAGGTCATAAAAGACTGCTGTTTCTGCCTTGCCCTCACTTGGCTCACTTGCTTTTGGGAAGTGGCTGCTGTGTAATTACACAAGTAGCTCTACAGAAAGGTCTTTGTGGCAAAGAAGTAAGGTCTTCTGCTAAAAATGTACTAAATTGCCAAGCCGTGTGAGTGAGCCCCCTTGGAAGTGGATCGTCCAGCCTCAGTCAAGCCTGCAGATGACTGCCGCCCCAGCCACAACTTGAGTTGCATTTTATGACCTCAGCTAAGACACTCCTGGATTCCCAACCCCCAGAAACTGTGAGAAACAAAAAATATTTCTTGGTTTAAGCTGCTAAATTTGGGGGTAATCTGTTACTAAGCAAAACATAATATGTGTAGAACTTTGATTCAAGGAGGAAATGTATGTTTCTCTGACTATGAAAGTAATAATACATGCTTGTTGCTAATTTCAAGCATAGACATACATGACCTGGAAAATGAGAATATCTTATAATATTGCTCCCTTTACAATTCATGATAAATAGGTCCAGATTTTCTCCATGCAAATACTAGTATGTGTGTGATTTTATAGTACACATTGGATCATAGTAAACATGCTGTCCTTTAACTTGTATATTTACTTTAATAACTTATGAGCACATTTTCCATTTAAGTTTATGTAAATCTATGTCATTTGTTAATATGTTTCCATATGTCTTAATGTATGAACTGCATTCCTTATTGGAGGATATGTGAGCTGTTTCCAATTTCCACAAATGTGAGCTACAATAGAATGGATAATAAGCATTTGGGTAAATCAGTGGGATGCATTTCTAGAAGCAGAAATAGTGGATCAAAAGACACACTTAAAATTCTAATACGTATTTCCAGATTTTTCTCCCAAAACACTGTACCAATGTATTTGTCCAGGAAATATAAATGTCTATTTCCCAACACTTTCAATAGCACTGGGTATCCACAATTCTTGTCAGGCAGGTAAAAATGACTCATTGCTTTCTTTTGTGTTTAGCCATCTTTTCATGTTTATTGGCTGTTTGTGTTTACTCTCTTTGGAATTGTCTCATTTGTCCAACTTGATAGTAGGTAATTTTTCTTATATATTGATCTATAGGAACCTTTTTGTATCACCAAGTTAAGCTCTTTGCCTAAAACATACTTTATAGGAAATTTCCCCTAACTCATTGTCAAAACTAACATTTTCAAATCATATTTAAGAACTTTTCTGTTATAATCCAATGATGGTTGTATAAATCCTGTATAAAAGCCTTTATAACTTAATTTAAAACTAGTTAGAATGAAAATTAAAAATAGTCAAGACAGTATTTCCTATTTGTACAAATGTTAACTTGCTATATTTAACTTTGGTGTCAATGGCCCAGTTGATTTAGATTTTTGCTGTTTCCTTCTAGTTTCCCAAATACTACATTCACCGCATACCCAGAAGCCGTGAGGTTCAGCAGTCCTGGCTCTCCACAGTGCTCACCACCTTGTACTCCATGTGTCTCTCCTTTCCCCTGACTTACCGAGTGAAGCCAGATTTGGTATGTATGACCATCGCTGAGGAGAGGGAAAGTCATTCTCCTGTGGATCCACGATTAGTAACAGGACATAATAAGTTCTTAAACAGCTACCATTTATCACTGTGCCAGGTACTATATCAGTCCTTGCAGTAACATGCTAAAATTTATTATTTGAAGCACTTTGCTGAAAAAGATGAGAAATGTGTCTTCGCTTTCTAGCTGTAACTTGAATTCTAAATGTGCCCTTTTCTCCCCCATGTCTCCTGGTGATGAGCACTAACAGGGCAGTATCTTTAATTGATTTGTGCTCCTATTCACCTGTGGTTCCTGAGCCACCTTCGTGTACTTGTCAGTCATAATTGAGTCAATGTTTTATTCCTTTCCAATACTCTGCTTGTTTTTGTCAAGACTGTTAACAAATGGGCTGTGCAGTGAGCAGAATGTTATACATGTTCAAGTTTTTACAGAAAATAGAAATATGAAAACTGAATTAGGTCAATGTGTTCAACCTTACCTTCCTTATCTATGAAAGTCCTTAAGTTCTTTGTGGTATTTAGGATGAAGTTCTAGTATTGAAGTCTGAATGTGCTTCAGTAGACAACGTAGAGCAGTAGCTGTGTTACCACAATAGTATACATAGTTCTTAAATAATGCTCTCATTCCTATTTAAGACAGTCCATTAATTGGCATAGTCTGAAAAGAAAGTCTTTATGCTTTCCACAGGCATGAGTTTTGACACAGTAGATGTCATTCTCATCAGTGGTGGAACAGAAATACATTTAGCTGCAATGATTTTGAAAAAACCATGGATGGTTTGAACACATCCCTATCAAGACGTAGAACATTTCTGTCACCCAGAAAATTTTTTCTTGCCCCTTTCTAGTCAACCTCTATTGGCCCAAAAGGTTTAATTTATTTATTGGAGCTCAAGAGACATAATGGAAGGGAGAAAAAAGTTCTTCACATTTGAAACTGTTATTTACTAAATCACTAGAGGCATGGCTGCTGTCACTGGCAAGAGTTAGCTGAGAGCAGTGGCTTTAGGTCTCCAAGGTGCTAAGGCTCAGAAGGAAGTAGTAACACGGTGAGTGGTGTCGCATAGACGTGGAGGAGCTCTGGTGACTGCCTGGCCTTAGTACTTAATGCCCTTGTAGTGGAAAGAGTAACCAATGGAGCTTTAGGACCCATTTGGTCCCAGGACCATTTTAGCTTTTTTTAATTTTAGTCAGTTTCTTTTCAGGCCTCAGTTTTTACCTTAAAATGCAAGGATTGGTCTAGAGGTCTTCTCAGTTTCCTTCTAACTTAGTCTAAAATTTTATGAGTGCTGTAAATTTGCCTGTGAAAAATGGAAGAAAAAAAAACAATTACAATGTTTTTAAAGGAATAAGGAAAAAATGGGGGAAATATGAAATACTTATTTCCACTTTAAATTGAGTTAGTTAAAAAAATTTCAAACCTGAACATCATCCAGTCAGCTGCACTGATATCGTTGGCTTCACAAAATGAATTCCCATGTAATGAAATCCCTTTTACAGAGAGAAAAGTTAGTGGTTAAGAGGCCTTCTTTATTACATTAAAAGCAAAACTACAGTGTGCGGGTTTCTCCTGTATTCACACGTGGCTTCCTTATGACTTCTATCACAAAGCACTATCTCTTTTAAAAAGTGAAGGAAAAACCCACTCTTAGAAAGGATAGCAGCATCAGCCCTTAAATTACTGGAGTCACCTGAACTGCCAGGTGACTTTCACTTTGCTTTAACTGTGTGCACCTGAGCACCCAGTAGGTCTGCTGCTCCACTGAGCTGTCAGGTGCCTCCCTGTCATGTATAAAATATAAACACAGACACTTTCCTTCTTGTTCCAGAGTGAGTGCTGAATAATAGAACATTTTAGTGTTTTTTAAATGGAAATCCCATCTGATAGCTAATACCTAACTTTCATTGTGTGCTGGCATGTGCCAGCTGTGGTACTAAGTGCTTACATTCATGCTGTATGAGATAAGTAGTGCTGTCATTCACTTTTAATAGATGAAGAAACTGAGGCCGTTAAGACATGAAGTTACTCGCCTAGAGCTTGCATAATCAATAAATAATGGAGCTAGGACAGAATCCAGGTCTTTGATTCCAAAGCCAAAAGCCTTAATCACTGAACTTAATGCCACCATTTCTGACTCACAGCATAGATGATGTGTTCATTCATGTGGACCTTTTAAGAATCAATTAATGCATTCTTTTAAGTAAAATACATTAAACATCACTCCCTCTAAAAATACTATAAAATAAAAATATATCCCAGCAGCTTATGTTAAGTACTTGTTTTCATAGCAGATTTAACAAACACTGATCCAATTGAATAATACTACTATATATTTCTACATTAGATGTCATTTATTTTTGTCAAAGTAAGATATTTTAAAAATTCAAAATTGATCATAAAAATAAGGGGAAATAGTACCATTAAAGAAGGGTTATTTCTGAATTATTCAAATCGACTTGACTTGGAAAATTAAACAAATTAATATTTACCAGCTTTCTATTATGGAAAATCATGTAAAACCACTGTGGGGACATGCACTGTTTTCTGTCTTAAGTAACTTTTTGGATGCGATAGTGATCTAAAACCTCAGGTATTTTGAGGAAAAAGTGCATATATCTGTTGATTGAGTGTATATTAAAATTCATGCTTGTTTCATCAGCTCATTATTACATTAAAAGCTTGTCTTAGAAAAAGTTATAAACCCTGCTTTAGAAACCTGAATCAAATCCTTAGTAGTAATTGGAAAGGATGGTTTTTTTCTTATACAGGGTCATTAATACTTTTTAGGTGGTTCTATTATTTCATACATCATATTTTTCAAGAAATATGGTTTTGCCAGGTAGCTGTAAATGAAAGTCATAAGTTTGTAAGACTTCTTGAATTTATGAAGATAATGGGACCAAAAACAGAGGAGTGGTTGCAGGTGGCCAGGGTTTTAGGGGGCTGAATACAAAGGGTCCTGAAGGAACACTTTTGGGTGAGAAACTCTTCTGTATGTTGATTGTGGTACTGATGGCTGTGTTTGTTAAAACTCAGACCTGTATATTAAAAAGGGTACATTTTACTGTATGTAAATTATATTCAACAAATATGAATTTTACAGAGGTAAAGTGGATTAAATGTGTATCACTACCAAAAGCATCAAAACATTTGGCTTCTAGGAGTCTTATATAGGCATTTAACTGTCTTTAAGTAAAAGATTTGGATGAGTCATTGATTCCTGCTCTCTTAATAACCAACAATTCCAGTGTTTATAAGGCCCAGAAAAATCGATCAAAGACTTGAATTGAGTTGACATTTGTCTGAAATTCATGACATAAAATGCAGCACCTTTGTATTAAAGATGTGGGTCAGGGAGCATCAGTAGCAGCCAAAAATGACACATTTCATCAACTGAACTCTCTGTTCATTTCAATCATTTATATTTTGTCTCTGTTATCTTGTAAGTACAGTTAGTTAAATTTGGAATGCTATATTATATGTTTGATTTATTGGTGAGTCTATCATCCTCAAAGTTGCAGCTTTTAAAGTAAAGTATGTATTACGTGCCTACTTATGCTACTTTTCCACCTGCATATCTAATAAGCATCTGAAACTTTCCTGCTCCAAAATAGTAGCTATTTCCTACTCTTCCCTATCTTGGAGGAGACATATATGGTTCCTCTCTCCCACACCCTACTTTCCATGTTCAATAACAAGTCCTGTGCACTGTGTCTTCAAAATGTATCACCCAATCGATTTCTTTCCATCATCACTGCCGCCATGCCATCCAGCCCCCCATTGCCTAGTCTCCTAACTTGTCATCCTGTGGAAGGAAGTTCATGACCCTCTTCAATTTCTTCACCACCTAAAAAACAAGGTAATTTTTTTAAAAATGTGAATTAGATTCAGTTCCTTCATACCGAAAATCATCCAGTGGCTTCTTATATTCTTGGAATAAAGTCTGAACTTCTCAGTGTAGGCTGTGTGCTCCAGCCCTGACCTGCTTCTTTGACCTATACCCCTCTCTTCCCCTAATTTGCTCTGTGCCAGCCACACCTACTCTTTTGTTTATTTTTAATCGAACCCAGCTGATTTGTATCTCAGAGCCTGTGTACTTGCTCTTCCCCATGCTTGATACTCTTTACCCCTGTTCTAAACATGACTAGCTCCTTTTTATTCTCTGAGCTCAAACTTTAGCTCCATATAAAGGCCTGCCCTACTTCTGGCACTTCATCCAGCTCATGTCCTTCTCCCTCTGTCACATTGCTCTGCTTTATTTTCTTCATAGTACTAATCCCAATAAAAAAGATCTGTTCATGTATTTGTTTATTGTCATTCTGTAGCTCCCAGCTGGAGGGTGTAACCAGCTCTGGGAAAGTTCACTCTAGATTTGGTGGGACTGAAAAATGAGAATGGCATGTTGCAGGGTAAAAGGGTTTATACCAAGCTTTATTCTCGTGATGGCAGGTCCAGCTGTTGAATCATATCTGCCTCCAGCAGGTGTGCATGCAGCAAGCCTGTTTCCATCTCAGTCTGTGTCTCTGCCTCTGCCTCTGCTCTAGGCTCTGCCTTTGCCTCCAGCCTCTGCTCTGCTCCAAGCATTGGGGGAAGCTCTCTATATAGCAACACAGGCAATATTGGCTTATTGCCAATGGATGTGTAAGCATTAGCCTAGCAGGAGGCCACTTACATCATCAAGTAGGTTAGGGTTAAGTGAGGATCCTGGCCATAGCAACTTCCATTTTCTCTACACATTCTGTAAGAAACTGTGACTGCCTTGTTCATTGTAGTTATGGAACAGTGACTAGCACCATGGCAGCCTCTCAGTGCATATCCTTGATGAATGTTCCAGTCACTAGTTACGTGGAGTATAAACATGAGTGAGATATGGACCTTGCATTCAAACATGAGTAAGACTAGCTTATACTCTAGTGGAGGAGACAGATTGGAAAGTAATTAAACTCAATATGCCAAGTGCCTTAATCATGGTAAGTGAAGATGCT